AAACCGATTTCTGGGTTCGAAATATCCGGAAATTTTTCTGTGAGTAGATATCGAAGATTTCTCTCTCAGGTGGACACATTTTTGTTTTAAATTTCTGCGTTATTATATTCATCTCGATTTATGATGAGAAAAAAATTGTTTGATCTCAGTTTGTGGTGGCGACAGTGAAAAATTTTCTGGCGATCGATGCAGGCTCATTTTTAGTTTTACCAACTATTATGATCCCGGCTCTAACGGGTATTTTCAATGAACATAACAGAAATGAATTCCTTACAATTACACCCGCACAAGCATCGATGGTTGGTGAGCATTTTCTATTCAATTCTTTTTTCCTCTTTTCAATAGTTAATAATAATCAAAATATATTGATTTTCAATAGCCTCTCTTGGCTTTATATTAAAACCAATTGGAAGTTTTATATCAGGATTAATTACAGGTAAACAAGAAATACATTTTCCCATTTATGAACAATTGGTTTCATCAAATCCACTGTATTAACTGTACACACAGATTCATTGGGACGCAGACCCGCAATGATTTTCGTGAATATTCCATACGCAATTGGATGGTACACCCTTTATCAGTCAAGTTCCCTTTGGCATTTATATCTTGGAATCGCATTTCTTGGTTTGTTGTTTGCTATCTGTTTTAATTAGATTTTTTTTTTATCTAAATGAGTGGAAATAAAAGTCAATTATTCTTTTATCAGGACTGGCTGTTGGGTTGATGGAGGCTGCTGTTGTTTCTTATATTGGTGAAATAAGGTGAGCTGATATTATCGAAAATGATACAAAAACATGATTAAAAGTGACTTTAATTTCAGTGAGCCAAAATACAGAGGTGTATTTCTTGGTATGTTATTATTATTCATATTTATTGGAAAAATGTCCAACATTTATGGGATGAATTAAAATTCTTGGATAGGTTACACAAACATATGTTATTCATTTGCGATGTTCATGACACTGTTTCTGAATACTTTGATGCCTTGGAGAATGGTGTGCCCTTGTTGTTTGGCGGTGCCTGTAGTTACAGCAATTACGATGTACTTTGTGAGTTTTATATGGATAAAAAATGATGCATCTTTTGAAATTAATTTAAACGAAAACTAATCGAAAATTTGATGCATTCGTAGATTCCTGAAAGTCCATATTGACTGCCAAAAATCGAACGGACCAGGCTGAAAAAGCGCTTCGCTTTCTTCGGGGTTGGGTGTCAAGTGAACATGTAGCTCAAGAATTTCACGATTTACAGCAACATATGAAACTTTCAAAATCGTGTAACACATGCATTGCACAAGATTTGGAATGTAACCATCCACAGTCAACGTTAAGCGAAAAACTCACTGAATTCAAACGGAAACGAGTGCTTAAACCGGTATTCATTATTATTCCAACAATATTCCTCGCCATATATCTGGGATTTGGATCTTTAAAACCCTATACGGTGTAAATTTTTAAAGCGTACGACAGTCCCATTCCCGCCGATCAAGCAGTGGCAATAATGAGTATTCTCGATACTATTGGAAGTGTGATTTTTATATTTCTGGTTCCATTCACGGGCAAGCGAAAACTTTATTTATTCTGTCTGTCAGGTACAATGATTTGTTCCGCTATACTTACGTGGATTTACCTATTTGCCAGCGGGCCATATTTCCTTTGCTCAAGCAGAAGTGGAACCATTCCATTTGAATAAAGCACTTGGCTATATCCCTGTAGTTTGTTTATTAACATGGAGTCACTTAGCATACATTTGTGTAGCACAGCTGCCATGGATATTTTTGAGCGAACTTTTCCCATTTAAGTAAGTTTTTTTAGTTTTTTCGTGAACATTTTTGATAAGTTGATTCTTGAATTTCCAATTGTTAGGTTGCGTGGGATTGCAAATGGCATTATATCCGCCTTTATTTATGTATTATATTTTTGCGCAACAAAATCTTATTACAATTTGGAAACCCTGCTATCTCTACCAGGTGTTTCATTAGTATACACTGCTATTGGCGTCTTTGGCCTTATACTAATGTACAACATTCTACCTGAGACGGAGAATCGATCGTTAGAAGATATTGAGCTACAATTTTCGGACAACTCCAAAGGGTTGACCTCTATTGTCATCTCCAAAAAATATACCACATAAAATAGAAATAGCGAATCTATCAAATGTAATTGTATTGTTGTTAGTGTAATAAAAGCATTTCAATATTGAAAAATATCTTAACACAAAAAATGGAAATAATAAAGGCATTGTGTTATGAGAATTATGACTGTTTTTATTAAACTTTTTATTAATATTCTGTTTTATTTAGACTGCTCGATTTTTCGAGAAAAATATTGAAATACTTTAACTCTATTTATTTAACGTGAATGAATCAATGAAACTATTTCTATAATGAAAGAAATTGATTTAGAGCAAAAGTTGAGAAGTTTTGATTCAACATGTTATTCTTAGTTTGATAAACCTCATAAATCGAAATAATGTATTTTCTTCTCTTTGATGGCCTTTTCCTTTTGCTCCATGATATTAAAAATGATCGCTTCAAAATCGGTGTCGCTCAATAGACCTCTGTAGACCTTCATACATCGAACAAATTCATCTTTCGACAGTTTGGCGAAGACAGTTCGGATTTTAACAATCAATGAACCAAACTCATTCTTCAAATTTGGTGGCGTTGCTTCAATATCCTTCACCTGGCATTTTCTGGTGGCCCAATTCATGCATGAATCAACAATGGTTGAAGCACTGTGAGACAATGATTTCGGTAACATCAAATTGAGGATTTTGTCGAGCGTATTTTGATCGCAATCCAAAAAATCGTCTGATTTCAGTATTCGTTGGGGATTCTGTTTTATCTTTTTTTCGCAGAATTTGATGGTACTTTCCAATTCGAGAAGGTTGGCCAATTCATAAACTGAGCACATATCATTGATTGTTGGCAACTTTTGTAATGCAGTTTCGCAGGGTGCCAACGCATCAGTCACTTCGTATTTATGGCACAGTTTCGTCACGTCAATGATGTTGTCGCATGTCAATCGCAGTTTCCCTAGATAGAAAAACTGTAAAAACTCTTTGAATGCGCCGAGCGATGCATCAACGATTTTGACATCGCTCTCTTCTTTCATTGAGCCGTAAAACATGGTTTCAAATACCGGACTTCCGACAGAAAGAATGATTTTGTGTGCTGAAACGGTTTCAAATTCATCATCACCGATTTTCACCATAAATTTGACGTCAGCCGTCTTCGAGTCAAGGTACGCCTTTTTGCCTCTTTTCATTAACAAATAGTTACTTCGTTCAAACACGTGTGTGCTCATTATGAATGCCTGATTTTCGAGATGCGATCGACAATAATTTGGAAAAATTTAGAATTATGATGAAAATACGAGGGTTGCTCCATAATTTTTTTTAAAAACATATATAACACAGTTGTTTTTTGTCGAAAATGGTTTTATTGTTTTTCAAAATATTCCCCGAGATGATCGATACACTTTTGCATTCGATGAAACCATTTGTCATAGCATTCGTGCCACTCCGAAACTGATATCTCCAAAACGTGTGTTTTGAACGCTTCAACTGCTTCTTCTGGTGTCGAAAATCGTTGATCACGTAGTTTTTTCTTCACGCTTGGGAACAAAAAAAAGTCATTGGGTGCCAGGTCAGGACTGTACGGTGGATGACCCATCAGTTCGATGTTTTGACCGGTCAAAAATCGAGTAGTTTGAAAAGATGTGTGAGAGCTCGCATTATCGTGATGAAGAATTATTTTGCGACGGTGGTTGTTTTTTCTTATTTCACCAAACACTTCGGGCAAACAAATGGTGGTATACCAATCAGAATTGACGGTCTTACGATCCTCTAGTGGAACGGTTGCCACATGACCACTTCTCCCGAAAAAACAGGCGACCATTCGCTTCGAAGTGCTTCTTGCTCGAACAACTTTCGTTGGGTTATCTTCATTTTGGAAGACCCATACAGTCGACTGCTGTTTCGTTTCGGGCTCATAGGCATATATCCACGATTCGTCACCAGTGACGATTTTATTAACGTCTTTTGAAGCACCACGATTGAATTTCTTGACCATTTCTTTACACCAACTCACACGAGCCATTTTTTGTTCATCGGTCAATTTATGTGGGATCCAACGAGAGCAAATCTTTTTTACGGCTAAATGTTCATGCAAAATTGTATGTATGCTGTGGGATGAAATGCCCAAAGATGCCTCAATCTCACGGTAGGTCACATGACGATCTTCCATAATCAGTTTTCTGACAGCATCGATGTTTTGTGGCACAACAGCCGATTTTGGACGACCTGTATGAAACTCGTCTTTGAGCGAACTACGACCGCAACGGAATTCTCGGTACCAGTTATAAATTGTCTGAAGGGTTGGTGCTTCATTGCCAAAGGCCAAATGAAGTCGATCGAAACACTGTTGTTGAGATAATTTACTTCGAAAATCGTAGTAAATCATTTTACGAAAATCTTCACGTGTAAAATTCATTTTTTTGTTGAGTCGCAGTTTACCAGTCACTGTAAACAATACAAATAGCGTTCGTACGACAAAAGGTTCAGGGCACGAATACATACCAAAACATCAAACTTTACGAATATGACAATGGTTTACATCGGGCAACACTATAAGTACCATTTTAAAAAAAATTATGGAGCAACCTACGTATTGTGGTTTAAATTAAGAGACAGAAAAATGGAAAAAAACTCGCCAAAAGTTTGGTTAGGTTATTTTTTCCCAGGTATGTTTATTAAATCTTTTTCTATTACCTTTTCTCGAATTTCTCTTCAGAATTAGCTTAAAATATCTAATGTCGTTGATTAATCTGATGAATTTGATCAAAACATCGTTGTTGAAAATTCGAAAACAATTTCTTTCCCGACTAAACGATGGATGACGACGAAATAAATCACTGCCTGTTGTCTATGTGCTTGCCTCCAATTTTTGACAGATCACTACTGAACGAATGAACGAAGATGCCGTCCAGTCGGATGTGTTCAATGCAAATTTATTTCAAGTGTTCAGTAAACAAACTAGAAATAAATAGAATTCATTCCATCGAAAAATAAATCGCTTGACTATCATTGTCATCGATATTATTACAATAAGAAAATACAAAAGATAGATTCATTGGAGGAATTACTCTGAATAAAATAAAAAATTAATTAATTTTAAAAAAAACCAAGAGGACAAACTGTAAATTTTCCTTTATTTAAATTCGCAGGCTCGAGATTAGAGAAGTTCTTCAGAAATATTCAAAAACGAAACATAAAACTCATATGGTGTTGTAGTGTATTTATTGTTGAAATTTTCACAAATTATAATTGACTAAGCATAGCCAATAAGTGTTAATCTTCAATATCCTCTATTCCCATCCATCGTTGTTATGGACTACACGTGTAGTCCATCCATCGTCGTTATGGACTACACGTGTAGTTTGTGGACCGTATTTGTAATTCGACTCTTTCTTGTGCCAATCTTTCCGACGTAATGTTTTCACTTCTTCGAACAACTTTACATTTTTCAAAATGAGTTGCTCCTTTTCTGTTGCGATCTTGTCATTTATCGCCATCGTTTTCAAAATGATTGCTTTGAAATCGATTTCTTTCAACAAACCTTCATAGGTCACGTTAAATAGGATGAATTCATCTTTGGTCAATTTTTCGAATGGAATCCGACCGATAAGCTCATCCAATTCAGCTCTTAGACGTGCTGGAGTTGGTTGTTGATTGTTTCGCTCGCATACATCTTTGGCCCAAGCAATGCAGGCATCAACAATAGTCGACGGTCTGCAGTTTGATGACACCAATTCCAAGATTTTGTCCAGCATCTTTCGATCGTACTTTAAGAAATCGTCTGATTTCAGTATTACTTCTGGGTTCTGCTTAATCTGTTGTTCACAGAATGTGATTTTGCTTTCCAAATCGAGAAGAATCGCCAATTCATAATATGTGCGAATATCATTGATGGTCAGTATCTTCTGCAATACCTTTTCGCAAAACGTCAAAGCATCAGCCACTTCGTACTTGTGACACAATTTCGTGACGCTAATGATGTTGTTCGATGTCAATTGAACTTTTCCCAGATAGAAGAATTGTAAAAACACTTTGAATGCTTCGGGGGATGCATCGACGATTTTGACGTCGTCTTTTTCCTTCATTGGACCATAAAACATGGCTTCAAACACTGGACTTCCAACGGCGAGGATGCTTTTGTGCGCTGGAATGCTGATGAATTGTTCGTCATCGATGATAAACACAAAATTAACATCAGCCGTCTTCGAATCAGTGTACAACTTCTCAACATTTTTCATTGACAAGGCGTTTCTTCCGTCAAAAACCGTACTCATCATGAATGTCTGGTGTTGAAGATCTAAGTATGCTTCAGTATAAAAAAATTCATTAGAAATGCAAACATGATAAGCAAAATATTGTGGTTTAAATTAAAAAAAAATAAAATTATAGATGCCTGGATGCGCCTGGAGTTACAAAAAAGTTGTTTTTGACCAGAGATGTCTATTAATAATAGAAAACAATTGTTTTACCTTTTTTAAGCTAGCTGTTCAGAATTTATATTAAAATACTGAATGGAGTTGATTAATTTGACCAAAAAACGTAGTCGAAAAATTGAAAGTAGATTTTTTTTTGTATATTTCTTAACTAAACAATAGATGACAACCAAATTATAATGTGCAACACGACCGTATGTTTTCTCAACAAATTTTGACAGATCACTACTGAACGAATGAACGAAAAAGGTAAGAGATGCGTTCAATGCAGCAAATTGAACGAACTTCAACCAATTACATGACTCAATGTGATGGATGAAAGCAAATTATATTTTATTGTTCAATCACGTCCTGTATGTGAAGGAAATTTCCCTCCAAATTCTAACATATCATTACCCAACGAATGAACACAGATGCCATCAAATTGGATGCATTCAATACAAATAAATTTGAAGGTTCAAGAAATATCTGAAAATAATTCGAAATGACCGCTAAAAATGAAACATAATTAATCTATATGATGACGTATTGCATTTATTATCGAAATCTTCAAAAATTATAATTTAATAAGTCATTACAAATGTTGAATAAGTCGTTACAAAAACTTGAATCAATCTTCCTTGTCCTCTACCACCATTCACCGTCATCAAAGTCATCATCGTTCTTGGGACTTTTTGCCAACAATCGTAATTTCAAAATTTTCACTTCTTCGATTAATGTTTCGTTTTCCAAAACGGTCTGTTCCTTTTCTACAGCGATCCTATCCTTTTCCGTCATCGTTTTCAAAACAATTCCCTCCAAATCGGCGTCATTCAAAAGTCCTTTGTGAAAAATAATGAACTTTGCGAATTGTTCTGCGTTCATCATGGCAAATGGAATTAGGCCGATCAATTCACCAAGTTCGGCTTTCAAATGTGCGGTTGTTGGTTCCAAATTCTTTTGTTCGCACTTACTTTTGGCCCAAGTCAAGCATGAATCGACGACAATGACCGATGCACAACAACTCGATGGCATCAATTCCAGTAATTTCTCCAGCGTCTTTCGATTACATTTCAAGAAATCGGCCGTTTTCAGTATTGCGCCAGTATTTCGTGTGATTTCTTCTTCGCAGAATTTAATAAAATTTATCAATTCCAGATCAATGGCCAATTTAAAACGAGAACAGATATTTTCAATGGTCACCAATTTTTGTAGAACATTTTCGCAGAGTTTTAAGCCTTCGGCGACTTCGTAGCTCTTACACAAATTGGTCACTTCGACGATATTTTCCGACGTCAAATGAACTTTGCCCAGATAGAAAATCTGCAGAAATTCTTTGAACCCTTTGGGAGATGCATCAATCACTTTTGTGTCACATATTACAGTTGATGATCCGTAGAACAGG